ATATATAAACACATATATAAATATATGCAAAAAAATATATATATATAAATATATATTTAATACACACATACCATATTTAAATGTATCTATATATTAATTTTATTGTAATTCATGATTAATTACTCAATTACCTTTTGTCTATTCTTCAGAAAATCAAACATTTTACTAAGATTAATGTTTTCGTACCATCTTCAACAGAATCGAGAAAGAACGCAGGCGCCAATTTTCGAATCTCTAAACCCTGACAAAGTCACACATAATTCGTACTAATTTTTTGCTAAGAGCTATAAACCGCTTGTATTATTCAGTATTACAAACCTGAATTCTATCTACTTTATCTCAAAAATAGTTTACTTTTCACTTTAGTGTAGTATTTTTAACGAATGCTCTTTGTCAGGACAATTATTAGTGTTTCTTCAACTAATATTGAAGATTGTTACAGAAACCGAAGATTGTTCATGCGCATTTCAAAAACGAAAGTTTAATATCCGATTTTTTGAGATTGAAAAATTATTATATATTTATTTTACATACATATCAACTTTATAAAGGTTTCAAAATTTTACTGTTTAAAATAAAAAATGTGAATTTACTTTAACCCCTTTTAGAAGCGTTACCAACCTGAAATTTGGTATCGTATAAATACCTGGTGGTATTTTTTACTAACTAACTTCAAGCTTCTTATGTTAGCCAAAATTCAAAACGTGTTATATTTTACCTATACATTATACAACCTATATTATATATGTTAGTATCAAATTTTCGTTAAAGGTCTGATTTTAAATTTTTATAGTGATTTTTCTATTCAACTCTGAACTATCTATTTGCTATTTAAAGAGCAAATAAACTTATTAATATCCTAGATATATGTAACGTTTCTGTCTATACAAAACGTACAATGACTTTAAAGTCTTTGTTGCAGGTATCGCATAGACTTTTTTAAAAATGTTAATCATATAATCAAATAGGTGATCGTATACTAACAAAAGCTACTCAATGACAGAGCATATAAGTAATATGTTTATCTTACTACTTCAATTCACAACTAAGACAGTAATTAATGAAGCTGTCTAAGCTAGGAGATGTCGCTGTCTTTTCCCTGATTATCCAGTGATCAAGGATTAGACAGTCATTCCTATGATAGTCGACTTAATTTGGGCTTCTTCCTCTGGCTATAATGATGTGTATTGGACAGTGAGAAGCAACGGAACCCAATCAGTTGACTTATTCTATTTTGACAATAGATGGAGATTTTATATGTAGTGTTTCACTTTTGTGCTCAAAATACACAATACTACATAATCCAGCCTTTCAAATAACATGTATGGGTAGTCAGTTTAGTAAATGAATTAAGTCGAGAACTACTTCTACGTAGTTATGGATCCTACAATTGCAAGAAAAACTGCATTTGAATAACATATTTCTTTTATTATTATTATTTATTATTATTATTTATTATTATATAATTTAATTATTATATAAGGATAATTTAATGTGCTTTTATGTGCATGCTAACAGAATTTGGTCTAAAGACGCAATTTACCTTCAAAATAAAGTATACAATCTATAAAAAAAATTTGAATATATAATGAATTGATTTGGAATTTTTTTAATAATTTAATTATAACAATTATTATTATAGACTTATGATTATTATTATAGACTTATCTATCTATGTATATAACTAACAGCCGTCTTCCTTTTATTTATATGCACTTGATATAATATATGTAAATAACAATATCGAAATGCCAATTGAGTTCAATAAAATACAAATTTGAAACCTCAATTTAGAATTTTAATTAAAAGAATAACAAATTATTTTAATCTGAAACTTAAAAGTAAAAATTTAAATTTAAAAGAGAAGAAATGGCATACAAGGGAAACACCTTTAAGGCACGCGACTGCATTTTAAAATATTTTTACATTTTAAAGAAACAAACAAAAATGCACTTTGGATTTGTTTACAAATTGGAACAGCTGTGGACGGCAGTATCCGTGAATTTATTTTAATTGAGTTTGTTTAAAAATACAAAAATAAAATATCTATAGATACAAATGGAAAATGTGAAAATGTGAGCACTGGAATACGTCAATAGCAATTAGTCAATGATAAAATGGTAAGGTTCTGTGGCCATAATTTATTAATCAATTTGGGACTTAATGCACTTTTGACTTGTTTGTTAACCAATGTCGAAACTCATATATTTTAAAATAAATTTAATGAACAAAGAAAATTCATTGCGAACATAAAATCAAACATGATTAACATTGAAATGTTTGGATTAAATCTCAAAAAAAATTTAATATAATTCACATACAAAATTTAAAATAGCTATACATATATATCAGTGCAGAAGGGAACTATAGTGATATTATAGTTTTAGTTTAGCAACTAATATAGACCGGGGACTCAATAAGTATCTGACACATACACATATAAGAATGTTGATCAACTCACGTGAATTTTGTGTGCTGTTGAAACACGGTTTTAGTTAATGAAATTATGTTTAGAATTAAGGCATTGCAATGATTATATCACACTTAAAGGAAAGTATTTTAACTAATATAGTCAAATTTCTTAAAAGAAATGCTTTTCTTCAACTATAATTTAATTTTTAACAATTAATTAATAATCAGCAGGCAAATGTATTCTAAGAACATTTTTGAAAAAATACTGATATCAATACATATTTAACAATTGGCATGTAGTTGTAGTTATTCTGTTATTCTTTGAAATGGATATAACAGTGCCATTAACATTAACATTTATTACACATCTAATGAATGAATCAATTTAACATTAACATATAAATACAAAAATTTTATGAATGACAAAAAAATTTTTAGACTAATCTAATCTTGTTGCGCACAACACTCACAAAAATGGCAAATATAACATATTTCGATATTTATTTACGATTAAGAACAAAACAAAAATATATGTAAACGAACTTATAAATCTGATTAATACTAGCAATTAATTGGCTTTATAGAATATTTATGGAATATACTGTGACCAATAGCATCACCGATAATTAACTTCTGAAGTACTCAATGGCGATATTAATAGTACATAAAAATTGCATTACGGAAATATTAGTAATTCTTTTCCCATACTATATGATTCATCACTACTTGCAACAAAATAAATACATTATTTCGTAAAGAAAACACGCACCTTAAGTGCACGAGTATCGCAAATGTTATTAGGAAACGTGCAGATAAAAGATATTTTTTTATGATTAAAAATAAAATTTTTTAATTTGTTTTAAGGAGTGTTTAATTTACTGGTTCTTCTACCAATAAATATATTACCTAATAAAATTAAGGAAGGAAATTTTGTATTTTATAATTTTAGTGTCATTTTATTAAATCTTGTCGAATATTTCTCTGGCATTCATTATTCTATTTTTATTATTTTATATCATATAAATAATTATTATATATTTTTCTCATTGTAACATCGTTTTATAAAACTATACTTAAAATAGTATTGAGTGATTCAGATTTATTCTCTAATTTTATCTGCCTACTAATCAGTTATTATGTTTATATATAATTTTTAAATACTAAATCTTTATTTACATTCACAAACACCTTATGTATGTCATAACATATGTATTAAACAGTATATACTATATATGTATGATTTATGATTAATATTTTTGCCAGGTAAGAATTTTATATTTGAAATATTTTTGTGAGATTAATAAAAACTAAGTAAATATCTTGATTTACGGATTAAAAAATGTGTATGACTCACATATTACCATAATAAAACAAAGTAGAAGAGTATAAGCCAGAAAGTTTATTACCTGAAGTGGCTTATATAATAAAGTTATCTACGTATACCCTTATCTTATTTCAATAAAAGGTGATTTTTTAATATCATATGCACACTCTGTAACTTTCGTTTTAAACATTATGACTCAATATTAAAGTATGAGATACGTTTCTTATTACGACAGCATCTTTTGCAAAATATTACTAATTGGAATTCCAAATATGTGCATTCTTTATACAATGGAATATGCATTCATGTATATAACAAAACATATATCCATATATAAACTTATAAGGTTTATATATAAATGGAAATGTAAACTACCTTCACATTTCCGACTGTCTCTTGTT